ATTATTTCTGCACAAAATTCCTCTTTCAGATGAGCATATAAATGCTCTGACTGAGTTCTGACACAAACAAAATCACTATTTCTTGTGCTTTAGAGAGACTATATCTTTCCAAAATACATACAACTATATCTGGAAGCCAGTTCTCTTACTCAACAAAGGAATAAGGATTTGTAAGAATTACTTTCGGGGAATGGAGGTTAACCACAGTCAGTATATTATTTGATTGTTGATATAATTTGGAATTTGCAAAAGAAAAATTTCAGGTCACTGCTTATCAATCCTTGTGGTACTATAGCTCAGCTATCTCAAGGGATATACACAAATTCTCCAAAGCATCTCAAAACAAAATTAATTCTAATTGCTTCAAAAACAACAATTATAGAAACCTTATAAGGTACCAGGGACTATCTAGAGTTCTACATATTTTGACTCATTATATTTAAGCCTCTAAATATCCCTAGGAGGTAAGAACTATTCTTACTGTAATTTTACAAAGGAGGAAACTAAGACAGAAATTAGGGAACTTGACCAATCTCACAAGGCTAAAAATAGCAGATCTGGGGTTTGAATTCAGTCAGGTCTCAGAGCACATGCTTTTTGCATCCAGTAACATTCATTTATTTAGTGAAGTCTTTACAGTGGACATGCCCCTTGGCTAGCCCTGGACATAAGGAGGACATCTGGCTGGTTGTGCTCGGTACCAGATGCCTTCAGGCTGATGTTTCATTGCTATGGGGTCCCTGTCACAGCTGACCAGATTGCACGGCCTGCAGAGATAATTGCACCACCTTGATCTCCTTGCTTATTATTTAAAACAAATAATAGGTTTATTGAAATATAATTCACATAACATACAATTCCTCCATTTAAGGTGTACAATTTAATGGCTTTCAGTTATTCACAGATCACCTTTAGCATGTCATCCATCACCTTTAGCCACCATCACCTTTAGCGTGTCATGCCCATTAGTAGTCACAGCTGCCCCCTCCCTCCAGCTGCTGACAAGCAGTAATCAGCTTTCTGCGTCTATGGCTTTTCCTATTCTGAACATCTCATATAAATACAATCATACAATATGTGGCCTTTTGTGTTTGACTTCTTTCACTTAGTGTAATGTTTTCACATTTCATTCATGTTGTAGCATGTATTAGTCCTTTTCTAAATTGCCAAATAATGTTCCAATATGTGAATTTACCAGGTTTAAAAAAATCCATTCCTCGTTTAATGGCCATGTTTCTACTTGTTGGCTATTATGAATAATGCTGCTGTGAACCTTTGTGTGCACTTTTTTGTGTGGACATATGTTTTGATTTATCACAGGTATATACCTAGGAGTGCAATTGCTGGGTTATGTGGTAACTCTATGTTTAGTGTTTTGAGGAGATGCCAGACTGTTTTCCCTCCTTGCTTATTGATACTAAGAAGTTTTCCTCAGCTGACTGTTTTTGCAAAAGTGACTTTTCTTACTCTGTAGAATCAGTTGACATTGGAAAGCAGGGGTGCCAGATTTTGTCTTCAACAGTCAAAGATTCAACATCTGGTTGGCTGTAAATAGCCGCTTTCAGTAACAGAAACCAAATGGAAAGTTTAGAGTAACCTTGAGTAACTGCTCCATCCTTTTTTTTTTCAACATTTTATTTAAAAAAAATAATTTTCTACTTCTTATACTTTATTTATTTTATTATTATTATTATTATTGGCTACGTTGGGTCTTCATTGCAGTGCGCGGGTTTTCTCTAGTTGCTGTGAGCTGGGGCTGCTCTTTGTTGTGGTGTGTGGCTTCTCATGGTGGTGGCTTCTCTTGTTGTGGAGCACAGGCTCTAGGCACGTGGGCTTCAGTAGCTGTGGCACGTGAGCTCAGTAGTTGTGGCTTGCTGGCTCTGGAGCGCAGGCTCAGTAGCTGTGGGGCACGGGCTTAGTTGCTCTGCGGCATGTGGGATCTTCCCTGACCAGGGCTCGAACCCGTGTCCCCTGTATTGGCAGGCGGACTCTTAACCACTGCGCCACTGGGGAAGTCCCCAGTCCCTTCCTAATATTGTCTTTTTAGTGAGTGTATGAAATAAATTTAATAAATGATGGTAATAATTATAGCTAATATCTGTTGAACACTGTAGATGTTCCAGTCTATGAAATATGTTAAATGTATTTTATCATCTAATTGTAGAAGTACTGAAAATTTATTTTAATTGAAATATAGTTGATTCCCAATGTTGTGTTAGTTTCTGGTGAACAGCAAAGTGGTTCAGTTATATGTATACATATATATATGTTCTTTTACATATTCTTTTCTGTCATGGTTTATTATAGGATATTGAATTTAGTTCCCTGTGCTATACAGTAGGTTCTTGTTGTTTTCTATTTTATATATAGTTGTTTGTATATGCTAATCCCAAACTCCTAACTTATCCCTCCCCTCCCTTTCCCCTTTGGTAACTATAAGTTTGTTTTCTATGTCTGTGAGTCTGTTTCTGTTTTGTAAATAAGTTCATTAGTATCATTATTTTAGATTCCACATGTGACATCATATGGTATTTGTCTTTCTCTTTCTGACTTGCTTCACTTGGTATGATAATCTCTAGGTCATTCTATATTGCTGCAAATGATATGATTTCATTCTTTTTTATGGTTGAGTAGTATTCCATTGTATATATATACCACATCTTCTTTATCCATTTTTATGTTGATGGATATTTACGTTGCTTCCATGTCTTGGCTATTGCGAATAGTGCTGCTATGAACATTGGGGTGCATGTATCTTTTCAAATTAGAGTTTTCTCCGGATATATACCCAGGAGTGGGATTGCTGGATCATATGGCAACTCTATTTAGTTTTTTGAGGAACCTCCATACTGTTTTCCATAGTGGATGCACCAATTTACATTCCCACCAACAATGTAGGAGGGCTCCCTTTTCTCCACACCCGCTCCAGCATTTATTATTTGTAGACATTTTAATGATGGCCATTCTGACCGGTGTGAGTGATACCTCATTGTGATTTTGATTTGCATTTCTCTAATAATTAATGAAGTTGAGCATTTTTCATGTTCCTTTTGGCCATCTGTATGTCTTCTTTGGAGAAATGTCTATTTATGTCTTCTGCCCATTTTTTGGTTGGGTTGTTTGTTTTTTGTTATTGAGATGTATGAGCTGTTTGTATATTTTGGAAATTAAGCCCTTGTCAGTCTCATCGTTTGCAAATATTTTCTCCCAGTCTGTATGTTGTCTTTTTGTTTTGTTTATGGTTTCCTTTGGTGTGTAAAAGGTTATAAGTTTGATTAAATCCGATTTGTTTATTTTTGCTTTTACTTCTATTGCTTTGGGAGACTGACTTAAGAAAATGTTGCTATGATTTATGTCAGAGAATATTTTGCCTATGTTCTCTTCCACGAGTTTTATGGTGTCATGTCTTATATTTAAATCTTGAAGCCATTTTGAGTTTATTTTTGTGTAGGGTGTGAGGGAGTGTTCTAACTTCATTGATTTACATGTGGCTGTCCAGCTTCCCCAACACCACTTGCTGAAGAGACTGTCTTTTCTCCATTGTATATTTTTGCCTCCTTTGTCAAAGATTAATTGACTGTAGGCATGTGGGTTTATTTCTGGGCTCTCTTTTCTGTTGCATTGAACCATACATCTATTTTATGCCAATACCATGATTCCTGTAGCTTTGTAGTATTTTCTGAAGTTTGGGAGGGTTATGTCTCCAGCTTTGTTCTTTTTCCTCAGGATTGCTTTGGCAATTCTGTGTCTTATGGTTTCATATAAATTTTAGGATTATTTGTTCTAGTTCTGTGAAAAATGTCATGGGCAATTTGATAGGGATAGTGTTATATCTGTAGATTGCTTTGGGTAGTATGGCCATTTTAACAATATTAATTTTTCCAATCTAAGAACATGAGATATCTTTCTATTTCTTTGAATCATCTTCAATTTCCTTTATCAATGTTTTATAGTAGAACTACTAAAATGTAAGAATAAAAAAAATAAGAATGACAGACAGCTGTATTTTATCTGTACTAATGAGTAGGTAGGAAAAAAATGGTTTAGCTTGAAGTGAGAAAAACTAAAACAAAAGATAAACTTCCCTAAATAGAAAGCTGTTCAGAAGAGACTCACTTAGATGGGTTAAAGATAGTTTCATTGAGGGCATTTTATTTTCGGGAAGAAGGAAAAAGAGTGAATTATGAGTATTTTTTCTGGGTCTGCATACTCATGATACTATACCAAGGTTTGAGTTTTCTATAGGTACACAGAATTTGTTGCCAAAGTGTGATAGAAGCTAGTAAACATTAACGAAAGAGAAATGAGGAACTATTCTTATACAACATTTTTATTGGCTTTTGTTAAAAGCCTTCCTGTTGCAAAGCGCCCACCTCTTACCTAGTATGAAAATCCATTTGAGTAGGTTTGTCCACTGTAACCTACTTCAAAGACCAGTGAGCACACATAGAGTCAAACAAACAAACAAACACAAAAACAATGAGAAACAAAACTTATACAGTATGTTGTCTGTGATATGTTTAAAGTAAAGGTGGATACATTTATATTCATCATAACAAATCTTAAGGCCAAAAAAGCCACTGCTTGTAAAGAATTATTATAATTTGTATAGTAATGCTATTTCCTATTAAAAGAATTATAATACATGTCAGGGAGTCCACAAGTAGGCTTCTTCCTGGAAATAAAAACCAAACTTATCAATTTGCCTCAGTGTATTAGGTAAGAAAAAAATGACCGGTGTCTAACTGAAGCGTGCATTGTGTTGATCCTGATTTTGTGTAAAACTGACCATATAGGAATTTTCCATTTGGATTAAAATTCTGAATCCAAAACTAAGAAACAGTTTAGAAGCATAATTATTTTCAACAAATTCTAAATTTCCCTTAGAATTGAAGGCCATGGGAAGAATATGTAACCTGAGTTCTGATTTAGTCCTTAAGATCCGGTTACCAGCTGCTCTCGGTCATCTTCATTCCTTAGGAAAGACTAGACTTTTCTATTTAGCAACCAATCCAGGAACTAGATTTCAGCACACTAACCACACCTTCCTTCTCTGTATCATACTTGTACGCTTTGGGTCCTGAAAAGAAGTAAATGTAGCCTAAAAGAGACAAAGTTGAAATTATGATTACTGAAAATGACTTGCAAATTTATAAATGGGATTGTCTTGTAGTTGTAACTTTCTTGAGGTAGCACCAAAGGGGGACTGAGAATGTGTCAGGTGGCAGTTAGCTAATCCTCTTCACAGCTCTCTCTGAGCCCTAGAACTTGACACCCCTAACATGTTGATCATCTCTCATCTCTCTTCTCATGCCAGAGGTGGTTTTTGCTTCTACTCAGGCTGTTCCCCTCCAGGAAATCCAGCCCCCGCTGCTTTCTTTCCCTAATCAAACCTCTAGCCATTCTTTAAAACCCAGCTGAAGTCCCACCATGAAATCTACAGCACCTGATGCCTGTTTTGATCTTTTCTTCCTCAGATCACCTCTTGCAATTATTGTGAAGACTACCACACAATTCAGTACTAAATTATAGATTGTCTTGTTTTCTAGTAATTTCATCTGTGTTGGATAGAGGGTCATTTCCCAAAGAGAATAACCATTCCACAAGTGCAGAGACCATATCAAACTGTATTTGCATTTCTGAACAGTGTCCAGCTCTGTGCTACGTACTCAAGAAGAATGTTTTGACCGATTCAAAAGATCCAATTAAACTTATTCAACCCAGTTCAATTCAATTCAACTTTCCCAGCTATGTGTTAAATTTCAGGAGTTGGGTGATGGTGTGGGGAAAGCCCCTGGGAAGGTTGAGAGTATGTGCATTTTAAAGATGAAAAAGGTAATTTTGACTGGATGGCCTTTATGATGTAGCTGACTAATGCACTGAAGCTATACTTTTAAAACTTTCCATTTTTAAAGCGAGAACCATAATGACAGACATTTTATACTCTTTCTGGTGGTTAATCTTTTTAGCTAAATTTATAAGGGACTCAGGGACAAAAAAATAAGAACCAAGGACTCCCATTTGGAAATCCATCTTCTTCTATGTTACAGCAGAGACCAGATTTCTTGTTACAATTTCTACAAAGAAACTTTACAGTGGAAACACTCACCATTTAACTCCATAGCATCATCTATTTGGCCATTAAGTCCCGAAAATTCTTCTTCAGTATTCTTTGGATAGTCTTTTTCCATTTTCCTTTTTTGTTCATCATAGCTGGAAGAAATATTATTTCATAAATAATATAAACAAGAAGTATTTATCGATTGTAGAAGACACTGCGCTAGTCAGGCATATTTAGTCAGGGCTGATTTATGATTTACTTTAGATCTCTCTCTGTCTCTCTGTCTCTCTGTCTTTCACACACACACACACACACACACACACACACATTCTGCCATTTCTCTCCCAGTTTCCAGAGATTCTGGGAACACTAGTTTGGGAGTCATTTGCTGTAAACATGCTGTTGTTAAAAAATTTGCCAGATATATTGTTTAGAAATAGTTATATTGTTTAGAATTATAGGATCATATTTCTATAATTAAAAAAATACTACCTTTCAATGGGAACTCTGCATATATTTTTAGTGCTTTATTTACTGTTGCAATTTCTGTCTCTCTTTTGTTCTCTATGTATGAATTTCTTGGCTTACCAAACAGTTAAAAGCCCTTCACAGAGGCTTTCATTAATGAGCTTCTTACTGTGTACCCATAGAGGAGGGATTGAACAAATAATGCACAGTGAATGAATAAGTACATGTGTGAATGCTCAATAGATAAAGACAAGAAATGAGAAAATCTGGAATAATGGAGACTTTGCCTTTTAAATTGTTTTAATTGAATTAAATTTTTTTGTTTCCTAGAAAGATTATACAACTGACCAAAGAGTAGATTAGGTTTTTTTTTCTGAATCCACAACTACCGTGCAATGATAACTCTGAAGATTAGTTAATACCTCTCTTTGTGATCTAAATTACCCCTTGTAGAAAAGACTGTGACTTGTATGAATCAGTATGACTTGTATGAGTTCAGCATGTAGGCAGGGCAGACTCTTTTCCCTTCAAGAAGTTTTCATTTAAAGTGTGAGAAAGTCCCTTCTTCATTAGCATAGAGCTCCCAACGCGGACATTCCCAAGGTGGACACGCCACTGCTTTCCCACCCAAAGGTCAATTTCTCCTGTGTCTGGGCCACTGAGAGTTTCCTGCAGCAGCAGATCACATCCACCTTCTCCTGAAATGTGCCTTTCTTGTAACTATGACTGCACAGGCCAGGGGACAGATCTCTCATGATACTGAGCAGATCAAACGTTGGGAAAGAAGTATTCAGGCTGAAACTGACTAGTGGACTGAGGTGCTTTATGGGGTGTTGCGGATAGAAGTGGAAGCTAAATCCTAGAAGTATCAATAGGAGTCCAAACTCCCTTTCCAGGAGAGCTATTAGAATCTTCCAAGTAGGCCAAGGGGAAAACCAAGCTATATGAGTTACTGTAAGCACAGATAAACATGGAAGCCATTTACCATATTTTGTTGTCATCAGAAGTGCCAATAAAGAGTGGGGACAGGACACCTGTATGGTATTAGAAGCAGTGGTTGCAAGGTATCAGGACTGTAATGAGGGAAAGACTGGAGAGAAAGAACAGCCAGGCATATTGCCTCTCCCATGGCTTAGACTTCTTTTGTTCTGAAATCTAGAGTCAGACACTGAAAGTACAGGTTGTTTACATATTAATCTTTGTTCACTAGGTTTTCTTCTCTCAATTCCCTGAGGCAGCTGTACTGGGAAAATGGATGCTTTGAGTGAAGGGAGTGAGGAAGATAATTCCAAAGCTTAAAATATTTGGGGAGAGGGATGCAAAAGGAAGAACCAAGAAGTGACCAAGAGACATTTGGTGTCTGTAGATATAGAGGGAAATGTGGTGGGGGGATGCCAGAGAACATGACATTTTGAATTCTTTGCTTAATGTTGACCCCTAAGCTCAGGGAAAACAGTGAAAAGCCTTTCATGTCTTTATCCTCTTTTGTCTGCTCTGAATAGGGGATTAGAAGCTGAGCTATTATAATTAGAGCTATGCCTTACCTTTGTGTTCTTTAAACATTTATGAGTGATTTTGAGAACTTAATCACCATTTATATTGTTTTATGGTAAACGGTGTTCTCAGTTCCAAACAAGTGACTGACTAAAGAATATCTATAGGGAAACCTATTACAAGTTGGGATCTGCTTGTATTATATTTAAATTGGATTGAGAAATCGAGAAAGTATGAAAGGAGAGAGTAAAGATCTTTTCTGAGACTAGAAATACTGTTTAAATAATATAGGAATAAGTTTTAAAGAGAAAATGATGACTATTAATCCAATAGAAAAATCTGAAAAAGAAATCTTTCTCTTTTTATCTGTCTGTTTAGTTTGCTAAGGTGGGTGATGGTGACATCTAAAATCTTATATTATATATATATATATATATATATATATGTTCAGAGGATAATGGAGGTAATAATATTATATGTAAATAAAATTTCAGAAGAAATTTTAGAGACACAATGTCTGGCTGAGAATTTTAATTTTCAACTGCATTTATAAAAACGTAGGCAAAAATTTTGGCAAAACTATGAAATCATTTTTTTTTCCTCCATCCCTTCTACCACTTATGTATTTAATAGTCCCTCTCCCTTTCTGCCAACCCCCTCTCTGCCCTCTTGCCTCTTATCCTATAACTGCTTTCCAAAGAGTATTACTCTCAATAAAATCTATCTCAAAGTATCAGTCTGACACATAAGTCACCATTTTAAGATTAGCTGATAACATGTATATTTCATTTGGACCTTTTACGTAGTCACTGTGTAGATGGGCCTACATAATTAACATAGGGTTACCTACTTTTCATTTTACCAAGTAAGAACATTACCATCAACCCTCAGAATAAAAATTACCACCTATTTTCATTATCATTTCACAAAGAAAAGAAACTTTAATACTAAAAAAGGCAGAAAGGACATAATCTCAGAATAAAAGATGGTTCTTGCCAATAATACTGACCCCGATCACACCCCCCTTTATTGTTATATGTTTATTATAGTGTGTTATATAGTATATATATATATAGTATATATTATATATAGTATAATATATATATTGTATATATAGTGTATATATGTGTATATATAGTATATATATATAATAGTATAGTGTATATATGTGTATATATATGTGTATATATGTGTATATATAGTATATATATAATAGTATAGTATATAGTATATATTATATATAGTATAATAAACTATGTTTATTATAGTGTGCTATTTTTATTTTTCTGTGGACTGCTGAAAACTTTGTGATGATCTAGCCCTTGGTTTTTGGACAGATATTTGAGGATTTCTGTTATAGAGCAAAGAGTGTATAGTCAGATGGTTCTGGGTTTGAGTTCTGACTCTGTTACCTGCTGGCTCTGTGATCAGGGGAAAGTGTTCTGAGCTCTGAGCCCTGGTTTCCTTATCTGCAATACAGTAGTCATGAGGATGAGAGAAATCACACACACACACACACACACCCACACACACACACACACACACGTGCCTGGTACATGTCAACATCAAGGTCTGACCCAAGCTATAAGACTTTGTAGTTTATTTTGGCCCCAAGAACCAATAACTGACTGGCTAGTATGACATTTAGTGAATGTTGCGATTTGGTCTGGGATCCTAAGTCACCAAAGAGTTTAGTCTTTACCTAATTTTTTAAACACACTTCATTAGTATAACATGCAATAGTAGGCAAGGTTGAGAAGAGGAGAAAGGAACGCTAGAGAATGTTGGAGGTAGTCCAGAGACCTCAGCAGAAAGGGGTTAGGAGGTCTACTAGTATGTTGAGGATTTGGCTGAGGGTAAAAGAAAATTAAATTATATGACAGGATGAGAATTATGGGCATGGGTATTTTAATTGACAGTAAATAAATAAATCAATGGTGAAGAGAATAAAAGGTGACTACGTATGGTAGATGGGACGGATCTCTGTATTTGGATTCAGAGGGCATAAAATATATCCTCAGATGGACTATTTTTAGCTGTGTGACCTTGATCTAATCACTTAATCTCTTAGATGCAATATTTTCACTATGAAATCGAGATAGCAATACCTACTTCTCAAGATTGTTGAGAAGGCAGATGGGAAAATGAGAGAATATGAGAAAATACTCAGTGTGATTCCTAACACATAATAAACCATCAATATTTGAATACTAAGAAAATATTTATTGTAAATATACTAGAAACCTGCTAAAATCGTTGCATACGTTTTCTCATTACTGAGGTCTTTTTTGTGAAATCTAAATATCAACTAAAAATGATTGACCGGTAACTATGTTTATGTCCTTTAAGGGTATTTGTTTAATCATTTAATATTGATCAGTGGGTATAGATATTAACTAAATCATTACTGACAGTGACACTTTACTAGTGATATTGCCATAGATACCTGATGTGGTTTTTCATATATAGTATCTTACTCTCTACCTTTGTAATCTAAGAATTTGGGGACTATATTGGTAAAGTACTTGCATATTGTTTAACTGTATGCTCAGACCTTAGATTTGTTAGGAATTTCTGGTGTTTTCATTGTGATGATTTCTAACTTATGTCAGTGGCAAAACTTAACTCCATTCTGCCTTCTTTGAAGTACTGAATAGGGAGTTCAGTCTGCTAAAAGATGCTTAAAGAAAATGTGAGAAAGGATGGCAAAAAGAGGAATTTATTGATAAGTATTTATGGTATATGTTTCAGGAAGTTTCTTCAAGGAGACCTTTCTAGTGAAATCTAGTGGAATTTCTAGTGGAATCCCCTTTGAAGTTAATAATCCACTCCTAGCCAGGAATCACATGGCTTTCACGGAGGAAGGGACCTTTGTGATCTCACTAGAGAGGGCAGCCGGGAGAGTGGTCAGGAATGAAGAGAAGGGAGAAGAGTAAGAAGCTCAGGTCCCCATGAGGAAAGTGACTGTGAGAAAATTCTGAAACAAAGAATTAATAACAATGTTGAAATGTATTGATGGTCTCAATTACTATCTTACTGTATGATGAAATGCAAATTTATATCTCCAGGCTGAATTCTCTGAATTCAAGACCTGTATTTCCAACTGCCTTCCAGACATATCCATTCATCGGTCTCACTAGCATTTCAAACTACATATGTACAAACTGGAATTCCTGTTTACTCCTTTAAT